ACATATTAATGATGCAGTTTGTATATGAAACACTGATGCAAATACCAAGCTACAATACTATATTTAAACATTATGTTCATTACAAAGTCAAGGAAGGAGGTGAGCTAAAATTTTAGATGTTGAAGTGAAGCTTACAGTTACCAGGTACTGGAGGCTGCCCATAGTAGGGTTGGGTTTTGCTGCCCCCTGTATGCTCGCCCAGTGCTGCTGCCAAGGTGATATCTAGAGGGAAATAAAATCTCTACATTATGAAGAGATAATAATTAACAATGCAGTGGTGGGCTGAAGTGATGACATCATGGCTGACATAGAAGCCTGGAAGTGCCGTCACATCTAGAGTGAGTTTGTTGTGGAAACAGTCACACCTCGCTTATTCAAAAATCTCTTGAAATGTCAAATTATATATATATATATATATATATATATATATATATATATATATATATATATATATATATATATATATATATATATATATATATATATATGAATATATATATGAATATGACCGAAAAAGTAAGATTAATAATTCTAACACAAATTTTCTCTATCTTTCTTACGTTTCTTTTCACTGTTGATGGTAATTCAAAGATCAATTCTCCAAAATTCATTTTTATTGAAATGAAAATTATTGAAATTTAAAATTCAATAAAAATGAATTTTGGAGAATTGATCTTTGAATTACCGTCAACAGTGAAAAGAAACGTAAGAAAGATAGAGAAAATTTGTGTTAGAATTATTAATCTTACTTTTTCGGTCATATTTAATAATATATGTCTACAGGAAAGACTGCTACCTAATATATATATATATATATATATATATATATATATATATATAATGTCGTACCTATAGCCAGAACTCACTTTTTGGCCTACTAATATATATATATATATTTTCTCTATATGAAATATATACCCATTTCATATATATATGGAGTTAAAATATAGATATATATATATATATATATATATATATATATATATATGAAAATAGGCAAATCGGGCCTTGCATAGTATAGTGCGTTCTGGCTATATACTTTGAAAACTTTGAAAAGAAAAATAGTTGATTGATTCATAAAGAAATACCTGTATCTAGTGATGGAAGACACTACAATAGATTTTCAAGGTATGCAAGGCTTCACTATCACCATAACTTTCCTGCTCTGGACCCAATGTACATGTATGTGACAATATATATATATATATATATATATATATATATATATATATATATATATATATATATATATGCAGAAAATCCACATATATATATATATATATTGCATATATATATATATATATGCAGAAAATCCACATATATATATATATATATATGCATATATCCACATATATATATATATATATATATATATATATATATATATATATATATATATATATATATATATATATATATATATATATATATATATATATATATATATACACTGTATACTGTATACTATAGTCATATGATGACCAACTAGGCAGTATCATCTAAACTATATTCAGTAACTCAAACCTAATGCCTATCAGAGACTAACATGAAAATGTTAATTAAGTGAAAATATAGTTTAGCTATAGTGATGATAATTACAATAAGCAAATAGTTACAATAATCAATGCAATATAACAATTGCATCCTTCTGCAAGCTTAAGAATTCTGCATTAGCCATCACTGTATGTGTAACCTCACCATAAAAATGTTCACCAAACACACAATACACTCTAACTTTACAATTTTTTCATGAATAAAACATGCACATAAATTTATCCTTAGCATATGTATAATGGTAATTATTTAAATGGTATTAAATTATCGATATAACTTTATTCATATATCAAACTTAGACAGCTTTGTTTAAAGAAGAGAGAAGTCTGGCAAGTTCGGACCGAACTCATGTACTGGTTTAAAATAACATTTAGATTATTTAAAATGGTTTCTTAGTATTTTATGATAAATTTAAGTTTATTCAAGAACTGTACTTTAAGTGAGTTAAGTTAAAAAAAAATACATTTTAGCACCATTCAAGGCAAGACTTTAGTTTTACTGCAGTGCAAATTAATGTCTATTTTATACTTTACAAATAAAGATAGCTAAATAACAGTCAATGTGTTTTCCTATATAATATATAGATAAAAATATAAACTCTTATCTTGCCAATTAACAATATACAGCCCATCCTCCTGTTTAGATATTACTTATAGTAACGAGGTGGACCATTGCACATATATTAATGTAATGGACAATTAGAAAGTAAAATTTGGTACTACTAAATTTGGACAAACTGGAAAAGGTTTTATATTTATGTTGCTAATAAAACCTAACCATCCTAAGCTTAATACATGCTATCTGAGGCCTAATACAGTACAATACATATATATGCAATACTAGACCTAGGAATATTTAAATTTGGGTTTTAGCTATATTTGTTCCTAACTGTTTAAAGTGAATAATACAAAAATTCTACTATGTAATGGTCCAATACATCAATATATTGTGACTGGATGGTTCACTGGATATGTACGATGGTTCACAGTCACAAAATGTACTATCTAAACAGAAGGATGGGTTGCAACATACGATAATATATGGTCATAGGTATCTGATTAAAAAGATTATATTTTCAGAAAAACATGTGAGAACAGGAACTATATTGTGGCCCAGATGGAATACCTGGCAATACCCAGGATTTGCTTCCCATCCCTCTACTCCCTCTCTCTCCCTTTCCCTGACCTCTCTTCTCTTCATCCACTCTACTCTCCTTCCCCCCCACCCCTCCTCTCCTCTCTCCTTCCCTCTATGCCAAAATTCCCATCTCCTCTTTTGTCTCCCTCCCTTTTTTCTCTCTCTCTAAACATTCAATCCAGCAAACACACAACATAATCACAAATTTTTTACAATTGTTACTTTGATGTAACATTGTAACAACATGGTTAAAAAAATAGTGCTGGGATTGCACATTGTGTATAAGTTAGGATATTATGAATCTGGATGGGGGGGTTCTGGAAGTTCTTCTATTCCCCCAAGACTGGCCCAGAGCCAGGCTTGACTTGTGAGAGCTTGGTTCAACAGGCTGTTGCTTGGAGTGGCCTGCAGGCCCCATAACTATTACAGCCCAATTGGTCCAACACTTCTTGCAGAAAACTGTCCATTTTTTTGTTTAAACTGTCACTTTTGTTCTGGCAATATTTCTTATAATTGCTGGGAGGATATTGAACAACTGTGGGCCTCTGATGTTTATACAATGCTCTCTAATTGTGCTTATGGCACCTCTGCTCTTTACTGGCTCTATTCTGCATTTCCTTCCATATCATTCACTCTACGGTGTAGTATGTTATTTTACTGTGAAATTTGGGACCTGGCCCCTCATTATTTTCCTTGTACCTGGTATATATTATAGGATATCACTCATCTCTTTTCTAGAGAATTCATTTTGAGAGCTTTGAGATGATCCCAATAGTTTAGATGCTTTATCATTTCTATGAATGCCATATATGGTCTCTGTATTCCCTTCTTATTTCATAAATCTCTCCTCCTTCTGATGGGATAAGTGAGTATTATTATCAAGACAGGACAGCACAAGTGATTTGAATAGTATGAGTACTGTGATGGGATCCCTGGATTTGAAGGTTCTCGTAATCCATTCTATCAATTTCTAGCTGACGGTATATTTGCTCCCTAAATGTTAGGTCGTCAGACATCATTATTCCCAGATCCTTAACATACTGCTTTCCTATTACAGGCAGATTTGATTTTTAGTACCCTGTATTTTCTTTACCATACCTAACCATTTATCTAACCATTTGTCACTGTTAAACATCATATTATTTTCTGCTGCCCAATCAAAAACTTCATTAATTTTAGTTTGTAGCTTTTCAATGTCTTCTACAGGAGTAATTTTCATGCTGATTTCTGAGTCGTCTGCAAAAGATGACACAAAACTGTGATTTGTATTTTAACTGTATCTGATATGAGACTAAGGAAAAGGAGTATTACAAGGACTGTCCCCTGAGGTACAGAGCTATTCACTGTGCTTAGAATCAATTTTATTTAATTGACTGTTACTCTTTGCCTTCTGTGTGATGACAAATTTAATAGCCATTGCCCTATTTTACCTGTTATTTCTATTAAACTCGTTTTGTGGGCTAATAATCCATGGTCACATTTATCAAATACCTTTGCAAAGTCTGTACCACATCTTAATTCTGTTTAATTATTATTTTTTAAATCATTGTGTCAGGAAGACAGGCAGCAAGTGTGTATATACATATTAGGCACATATCGAGGTTCCCCAGCCCCCCCCCCCAGGTCAAATTACTGACCCTTCCCAGGATACAACCCCACAACAAGCTGACTAACTCCTGGGTACCTGTTTACTGCTAGGTGAAGAGGAGCATTATGTATAGGAAATGTGTCCAACTATTTCTGTCCTGCCTGGGATTCGAACCCAGAATTCCCAATTGTGAGTTGAGAACAAAATCCAACTGTACTATACATCAGTGACTTTGTCATAGTGGTCGAGTAGCTAAAGAAATGTTGAAAACTATCTGCAAGGCAAAACCCCCATTTCAGACTCCATAGGAGTTTCTGGGATTCAGAATAAGAGCAGATCCTTCTTAAAGGTGAGCTTTGACCAGCCTATAACAGTCCTATACCACCCATGTGTCATTTTGAAAAGTATCTGGCCTCCAACCTTGTACACACACACAAACACATTCTCTTTTATAGATAACATTTTGCTCACAAGGGCTCTTTCATACTATGCCTGAAACACTTTGCATAATAGTGGATTTAAACCATATATAATTTATGGTGTAAAAATGTTCCAATGTATATTGTATAAATAAAAATTATTATTATTATTATTATTATTTGAATCTGAGAAGTCTCTTGTTAGCATGACATTATCCACAATAAAGTTCTTCTTATTCCCACATGTTTATCTTAACAACACTGTTAGCAGTTATTACTCTATGATCATCCTTTTATTTTTCTTACGAATCACCAATGAAAGTGGCCAGAGACATACTTTGCCTAACAACCACCCCATACTCTACCATGTTGTCCAATATCAAGCAAAAATACAATTGCATCTGAACTAAATATTATCACCTTATGATTTGCAATCTTAAATCTATATGATATTATGGACTTTTGTATAATGCACATGTTGTTTCAGCAAAATACCTCACTTATAATCCTAGTTGCTGCTGATGCTATACTTAAATCCTTTCTATACATTAAATGAATACAAGTACTAGTAATAGGTGGGACGAGTACAGCACAGAATAAAAGGAGTAGATAAAGTCAAATATTTGCAGAAACTATAACCTAGAATTTCATACAAATATTTGGCCTAAATGTTTGCTAACTTGCCCTTAAAAATCACAAATTGAGTAATGAGACAAGATGTGTTTAATTTCCATGCCAGATATTACATGAAATACTGTAGTATAAATATGAAAGCATTACATACTACTTTCAGTTTGGCCCTTTATGAGAAGAAACAATTGCGCTAATATATGTCAACAAACATGCAGACAAACAGTGCTCCGAGAGTTTTGCATTTGAAGTATCAATGTCCTCTGAACACCAAAATAATTAAAATAATTTATAATAATAATATACAGGTAACACTGAAGGATCACAGTACAATGTTGCACAGCATCCATGCTGGTCAAAGATGCATTTTCAAATGTCTGACTTCACAATTCTTGTTAAATTGACTTTCTCAATTCTGTCAGATTTAACCAGTTATGTCTTAAATTGTTTTTTAAACACTGCCTAATCAAATATACAGTAGTGCCAATATTTTCTCAACTCATACGATTGTGGCTAAGTATGAGATTTGTCTCACCTGCAGATGGTCACAACTATAACATGGAGGCCAATGAGCACACCTGGCCAGAAAATCTCAAGAAACATGATGACGTTGAGGTGGCTCACCCTGTTCTTGCAGTTGGGGGCTAGACGGTGCTAGGGGTGAGTTCAGGGGAATCCGGCCCTTGGGAACTGCTATCACCAGTGTCTGCATTCTGCCCACTATCTGGTCCACGGAAGCCCCCAATGGAGCCTGAAGAAGACCCCAAGAGAGGGCGTGTTGGGGAGGGAGGTAATGATGGGGAGTGATGGGAAGTGGGTGGAGGCTGTTGAAGGGGAACCTGAGAGGGGGTAGAAGTAGGTTGCACCAAAGCCACTTGCGCCATGGTAGCAATTGGGAAGAGTGGCTGAAGAGGGGCAGTGGGACCCCCACCCACCCCTGCCTGGGATAATAAGGGGGCCTTGAGGGCCGTCTCTAAGCCTACGCCATTGGGGTTCAAGGTAACAGATAGACCCATGCCCATGCCGACTGTAAGAAAGAGGAAGACAGAGTGATGTTAGCACTACAAACAGTTCAGCCACGCCGTCAGCATGCCACACTTGCTACATCTAAACATACATGAGCAAAATGGCTGCTAAATCAAGAGGACATAAATTTCCACCAAAATAAATACATATACAGTAATCTAAGTCAGAGGTGTACTGCACCCACATGCCACATCTACTCTAGAAGCAATACGGTATCATGGCAGGGAGCCTTTGTTTTACGTCAATTTACAGTTTAGCACTACAGTACTTTTCCTATATTATTTTGCCATACATACATAAACACAAAATATATACCTGGCCTATTATTTTATATATTACATACATGTACAATATATATATTAGATGGGACACCCAGTGCATAAGGGTTCTCTCCACCTTTTATTCCCCTCTTCCCCCCCTCTTTACCTTTCTCCCCCAATATCCCCCTCTCACCCTTCTCTTTCCTCTCTCCCAATCTCCCTCTCCTATCTCGCCCTCTACACCTTTCTCTCCCTCTCATCCCCCCCTCTCTCCTTCCCTCTCCCCTCTCCTCCCCCTCTCTCCTTCCCTCTGCCCCACCCCCTCCCTCTCTTTCCTTCTATTCCCCATCCCCACCTCTCTTTTTATTAATTAAGATAATTAATTTTGTCAGAGACAGGCAGCCTGTGTGTGCGCGTAATTACCTAAGTGTAGTTACAGGACGAGAGCTACACTCATGGTGTCCTGTCTTCTCGGCACTCTTTGTCATATAATGCTTTGAAACTACTGAAGGTTTTGTCCTCTACAACTTTCTCACTACTTCTAACCATCTACCACTCTGATTCCGAAAGAAAACTTGTTAATGTTTTTTCAGCACCGTTGTTCCCTTAGCTTGAAACCATGACCTGTTGTTCTTGAATTTGCCAGTTACAGGAATTCTTCTTTGTCAGTTTGGTTAATTCCTGTTATCATTTTGTAAGTGGTGATCATATCGCCTCTTTTTCTTCTATCTTCTAGCTTTGGCATATTTAACCCCTGCACTGTACACCTTTTAAAATGACATTCCCGTGATACACTGAAAATAAATTGTTCCAAAAACTTAATTTTTCTTTTGATATTGTAAATTAGCACCAAGGTAGCACAAAAATCCAAGTAAAAAGTCTCTTATCTCTTGTGGTTAGCTGTAGTGGTCTGGAGAAGTCACATTTTTTTTGGTAAAATGAGGAGAGTTGCTGCATGGGAATAACTTTGTCAATTTATTTTCAATGTTTCTCTTTTTATTTATTTAGTTTGTTTTGCTCAAACAAGATGTATCTGCATCAAAGCTGGTGTTCATTATGTATAATTTTGAAAATATTCATATATACAGATGTGTATAAATATAAGTCTAAATCTTATAATTGGACATAGCACACATTTTGCCTGAAATATATAATGGTAATCACTCTGTTAAAATTTCAGTGGCTCATAGTATGGCTGCCCTGCACTTTACAAGGCCATGGCCTTAGGAATGTTATGCCGGCCTTAGTAATGTAGGCCACATTACTAAGGCCATGAAAGAAAAGTGAGGGACTCTATTTTTTTTTTTTAAGATGGGGAATGGTTACTGGAGGCCTGAAGAAGCAAATGTGAGCCCCTTGTATGCATGGGAGTTTCGAATCTTATGACATAAAGTGGCCCCTCCGTTTACAAATTTAATCTATTCCCAGAGACTGTTCGTAACCCAAAAATTTGCACCCCGAAACAAATGTTCCCACAAGAAATAATGTAAATTGAATTAATCCGTTCCACACTCCCAAAAATATTAACTTCAAAATACATTTCATATCTAATTCACACAAATATTTAGTACTATAGTATATACAAGTTATAACTTACCTTTATTGATGACTCTTGTTGGCAAATGGAAGATGGTGAGGAGGGGGGGGGGAGGAGGAGAGGTGCTAGTGTTTAAAAGGGAAGTCCCCTTCCATTATAACATCAGACAGTGATGACTTCTCCTTGGTACTCTCTCTCCTACATTTTGCCTGCATACCACTAGGACCTTGTTGCGGCTCACTGCTTGTTTTTCTCACTAAACCTTTCCATAGAGACTTGTTTTTCCCTATGTTGTAACACTTGTCTGTAGTGAGGCATCACTGTGTCATTAAAAAGGTTAAGGCAACGGCCTACTACGGCTTGCTTTGGGTGAGTCGTTTCAACAAATGTTTGCATTTCTTCCCATAGTCTACACCCCCTTCTTAATTGTTGAGGAAAGGACATTCTGTACTGCCTCCTCCTTCCTTATAGAAATTTCCTCAACTGCCTCTTGTTGCTGCTCATTGTGAAGGACTAGGAGTTCTTTGGTGGTCAGTTCTTTGCTGTCTAGAACCACCCCTAGATTTCTTTCTTTATCAGAACTTTTTACAGCCTTTTCCTATAATTTGTAGGTTGTGTGTTGTTTATTTTCTCCTATTCCACATTCCCTAACATGGCATTTATTTACATTAAATTCTATTTGCCAATTGGTGCTGCATACACTTATTTTGTCCAGGTCTGCTTGAAGGCATGACAATCATTTAATTTTCTTCTTTTCCCTAGTATCTTAACATCATTAGCAAACGTGTTCATATAATTCTGTATTCTTTCTGGTAGGTCACTTATGTAGACAATGAACATTATCGGTGCAAGAACTGAACCCTGTGGGACTTTATTCATGACATTTCCTCAGTCCAATACATTGCCTCTGATCACTGCTCAAATTTTTCTGTCAGAGAAATTTTCATCCATGTTAGAAGCCTCTATATGTATGTATGTATATATGTGTATGTGTGTGGGGGGGGGAGGGGGGTGTTAAAGAATGAGAGCTACTCTATGACCCTAACAGGGTTTGAACCTGCATTACCAGTACAATCACTGGTGAAGTGGGTATAATTAAGGTACTTTGTACACCAAGGGTGAGCCCTTTTAATTCAAGTTCAAACTCCCCTTAAGGTCGAACTATTGACCTTCCCGAGGATGCAACCCCACAAGTTGAATCACTCCTGGGTACTTAGTTAATGTCTAGGTAAATAGAGGCATTAGGTAATAGGAAACATGCCCAACCATTTCTGTCCCACCCAGGATTCTGAATTGTGAATTGAGAATTAATCAAACTGTACTACCAAGACCCTTTGAATGTGTTTATGATTTAAAAATGAATTTCTAAACTTGTAAAGTACAGTACTATAAATTACTATACAGTACAAACGACTATTTGACATGTTTTCTGGAGGATCCAGACTTGCTGTGAGAAAATGCATACCAACCTTGTGTTTTCCTTTTCTTTGATCTCTCATCAGACAACTTTAACAGGAACTTTCTTACCATGGATAAGAAGGCTGAATTATCGGAGAAATGTGGTCTTCTCTGGGGAAGGCAAGTAGCTGATAAATGAGTATGGTGTTAGAACTAGTTCTGTTTTTGACAGAATAAACAAAGGAAGCAGATCAGAGGAGCACCGGTGGGTGTGTGGATAGCATGCTGGACACGTGATCCTGTGGCCCAGGTTTGATTCCCGACGCCGGCGAGAAACGATGGGGAAAGTTTCTTTCACCCTGATGCTTCTGTTACCTAGCAGTAAATAGGTACCTGGGAGTTAGTCAGCTGTCACCGGCTGCTTCCTGGGTGTGTGTGTGTGGGGGGGGGGAGGGGAATTAGTAGTAACAGTTGAGTGGCAGGCCGAAAAAGCAGAGCTCAACCCCCGCAAGAACAACTAGGTGAATACATAGTTTATGAATAAATGGAGAGCAGTGATAGAAAGAGAAAGGATAATAGAGCCTTCAAAGCATGATAATTTGGATGGTGCTGTTTAGCAATGAGTCACATAGCATCGTAGCTTTGGGCTGGCTGTTGGTAGTAATTACCTAAGTGTAGTTACAAGATGAGAGCTATGTTCGTGGTGTTCCGTCTTTCCAGTACTATATATATATTATTATATATAATATATATACAGTATATATAATACAGTAGTACCTTGGTGTACGACTGCCCTAGAGTACAATTTTGCTCCCGACCACACTAGTCATATGACTGATGGAGGCAACCAGTAGGTTGCGAAGGGGGATCCAAGTTGCTAGATTCTGACATCTAGAGGTATGTGAGTGCTGCTGGCCATTGGAGCTGGACAATGAGTGTGCACATAGTTTGTGTCAGGGCTGTCAATGTTTTCCATGCACTGGCCTCTTTTGAGGCACTCTACATATTTGGTGTTTTACCTCTTGGCCTGCATTGATCTACTACTGGTAACTTTCCCCAAACACCCTTGCCTCTATTGAGGGGGTCAGATTCTGGTCCTAGCCCTCAATAGGCACTAATGACTCAAAGGACCTTGTGGGGTGCTTATACTTGGAGCTTACCGGATTGGTAGCTCGGGAAACTAATGAAGTGAGTGCATCCCAGAATGTAGTTATAGTACTACAAATTCATGACATGCCACCTGTTAAACTTCTGAACTGGCCTTGAGGTCCATAATGTCTATGGTTAATGCTATTCTTTCAGCTACAGACTTTAACTGTCCACCACCACCACAGCATTATTCAAATCCTCATGCTTAGAAGGTTTCAATGATTTTAACTCACTTCTCTTTCCACCATTGCTCTCCCATTTTTATGAAACTATCAAAACTATATTATCTGCTTTCTTTGCTTATTCTTTAACATCCTGCTGCTGTTAAAAATGTTCTTGTCTTTCTCTTCCTCCGCGCTCTACGCATCAGTGACCCCTCAGTTTCTCGATTCTGAATTTCCTTTATTTACAAATCTTTCCTGCGCCTTGGTAAACCCTTACATTTTATCTACTGTTTCTATTCTCAAACTAAACAAAATTTCTTTCATCTTAAACCTGTTTCCTACACTAGTACCACTGTGCTCTGCTTTCCCTTCATATCTGAACTCCAAAATCTCACTAATACCCTATGTCCCCCTCCCTTGATGTAAAGCTCATCTTTCAATAAACTAATACTCTTTGTAGTAATCTGGTTTACACTGCTCATCCTCCTGCTTC